CTCAGTGGTAACATACTGCATATCTCACCTCTGACGCTCCGCTAAGGACCAAAAGGCCAGGGCTTTTGGGGGGGCAAGAAGAGATAGAAGACCCCGACACCTCCAAGAAAAAAGAGAAGGCTAGTTGCACTCCTTACCGGTAAAACCCTGTAGTCAGGGAGGGGGTGCTTGGAATGACCGTGGATGGCACCGCCAATTGTAGATAATAGCAGAAACGTCAGCAGCACATCGAAATCCTTAAAGGATAATAAATTGTGGATTTATTGAGAACTTATGTCAGCTACACAAGCACTCTCGGGGCCACGTAGGGTCCCTTCATCAGGCGTAGCAATGAACAAAGATGGCTTAGCCCTTCTGGAGTGAAAAGCAGATGAAGGCATTGTCGGGGGGAGTCCTGTGATCTCTGTGAGAAGTAATAAATACCTGGAAGTGTTACACTGACACATTACCTGGCTTTTTGCAACTTAAATGGATAACATATATCTGATGCTCTGTCCACTGTAAATAATTCTAAACTCATAGAACAATCATTGTCCAACACTGACGTGTTATTTTTCTTTTATCTTCCAGAAGATCCAGAGTCCAAGCTTCAAAGGATCCCTCTTCCCAGCCCGAATATTAGTGTCCACCTATGGACTGACGACGATCAACTATGTAATTTCTATTTTCTACACCAGTTTCTGAACTTTATTTATCTCTGTCTGGAAATGTTCTGCAGGACAGTCTCTTCTATCTCTCTTGGACCCACCATCCCAAATGCTGAATTCCCGGGTCTGTACACCTGCTGTGCCCTTAATGAGGAGCTCCCACCATCCCAAATGCTGAATTCCCGCGTCTGTACACCTACTGTGCCCTATATGAGGGGCTCCAACTATCCCTGTGCTGAGTTCCCAGTCCTGGATAGTCACTGCTCCAAGCTCTCATGTCTAGTTTACTAATTTGTATTGAGATTGTAGCCCATTACAGGAGCGAGCTTGGAGCGGTGACTACTATACAACACACCCAGGTACCATGGTGAACAAAAGTAGCCCCCCTCCAGAAGGAAGGACAGTGTCAGCACCAATTCAGAGATGATTTGAGGATACATACAGCCGAGTGATACATACATAAGATACATTGTTGTGAATAGTTAAGGGACTTAAATGTATTTTTAAGGTTTAGTGTATTTTTAATGATTTATAGAAGGTCAATAAATTCTGCAGCAATTTAGAGAGGACCTATAGACTAGGGATGTGCAGATACCAGTGCAGATACTCGGCATTTTCATGAGAACTACCTGGGTTGCAGAAGTTGCAGCTGGGACCGGGCTCTGGCGCTCCACCACTGCCCTGAAATCATTAGTCTGTGTTGTTTTAGAAAAACTGTCACATGACAATAAACAAAAATGTATCAGTACTCGTATCTGAGAGTACTTGGGCGAGTATCAGTACTTGTACTTGCAAAAATGGTATCGGTGCACCACTTATATATATATTTATAAAAATAAATTCATACGTCAAAACAGAGATGTCCAAATCCCAGGAGCTCCGTGTGCTCCTTACAAATAACAGCTGTTCCTAACTTTTGAATTTTATTCTAGTCTAGTCTTGAAGCTGGAAAAGTATCTGTACTTGTACCGAGTACGGTACTTGGTATCGGTGCATCCCTAATATAGACAGAAGAGCTTACTATCTACAATCTGAGTCCTAGAGGCATTCTAGGGCCAGTTTGAGTGGAAACCAATTAACCTAACAAACAAAAAATCATAAAGAACATACAAACATCACACAGGTATTGTCCTTGGTAGGAATGGAACCCATGGGCTCAGGATTAGGTGTTCCAGGAAACTGGCTCACTATCTAGCAGAGGAGTGATAAAAGAGAGAAGTACACTAATAATATCAGAATGGCAAACAAGAACCCTGAGCAGAACGGCTTGCCTCCGTATGTTTCTAGGATTGATCTCTGAGTCTGGCTGTAATGAACCTTGAGCGGCCCATAATCACAGATATGTTCTATTTCAGTCCTGGGGTACACCCAGACATTACAGAGCCCCAGTGTGACAACAATGATGTGTGTAGATTCCATTCTGTGAAATGTTTCTAAACACTGATCAGTCTTTTTTCTATCTATAGGGAAGGAGCTGATGCTGTTCACCCATGAGACGCAAGCCACAGACGGCGAGATCGAGTCGTTCAAGATGCCGGAACTGGCAATGGACTCAGAAGGCAACGAGCAGAACCGCATTTCAGTGTGGTCCAACGACAGCGGGATTGAGAGGGACTTGCCCGGGGCGGAGGAGAAGGAACCGGCCAAGCTGCACAGGAAGCCTTGTATCAAGAAGAAAGGGCCCGACCTGGACTCCGCCGTCCTGCTTCAGAACCTCACCAAGGCGCCCAAGGGGAGCCGAACGGGGACACTACAAAGGCTGTCGGGGCAGAGCACTGAGGTCTCCTCCTGTCCTGACACGCTGCCCACTGCTCGGGTCATCGTTCTGGGGGACGACCGGGCTCTGGGGAGACTGGCGAAAGCTTACTACTCATTCAGGTATCCATCACACCTAAAATGTGGTTCGTTGAACGTGCCTGCAGAGCCTGGGTAGCCCATACACGAGCAGAACCAACTCCATCTTTACAGAGCAGGGCATCATGGGAAACAAGGCAGAGGTAGCCGCCATGTTGGTTCAGTAGCTTTTATCCTCCTGTAGGATAGTTCGCAACACCAGATCCTCACTATTCACATGAGGAAAGAAAGCAAGATAGTAGAAATCATGATTTAGCCTACTGAACCCCACATCAGGGGTAGGAAACCTCAGCACTTCAACTGTGCTCAAACTATACATCCAATCAAGCCTCTGCCTCTGGGAGTCATGCCTGTGGCTGTTTGTCTTACAATACCTCATGGGACTAGTAGTTCCACAAGTCCCATCAGCCCTATGTTTCCAGGAGCAGAGGATTATGGGAAAGGCAGCAGCAGCCATTGGATTTCAGCACCTATATATGACCACCTGGCACTGTCCCCGGTAACAGATTATAGTTATGATTTCTGATTTATATCTAAGATGTTTCACTCAAGAAATATGTCAAGGTTTCTGAAGATTAACAGAAGATGTGTAAAAGGAAGGTGGCATTCCCAGAAGCCATATTTCTGAGCACACAGCTGACTTTCTGTCCACTAGTTGCAGAGCAGAGTACCGTCATTTTATTGCCTCCTTTTGCCTGCAGTGGCAGTTAGCACAGAGGAATGGGCTTCACAGCAAAGTTCCATGATAGCAGATACTTTGACTTGCATAGGTGCAAATAATATTTCCAGCCATTCTCTACTGTTCCTTCCTCCATCACAGCTAGCGCCATAATACACAGTGCCGTGCCGGAGCATAGTGGGAGCACTGACATTATAGAGGGAGGGTTGACGTCATAGAGGGAGGGTTGACATCATAGAGGTAGGGTTGACGTCATAGAGGGAGGGTTGGCGTCATAGAGGTAGGGTTGACGTCATAGAGGGAGGGTTGACCTCATAGAGGGAGTGTTGACTTCATAGAGGGAGGGTTGACCTCATAGAAGGAGGGTTGATGTCATAGAGGGAGGGTTGACGTCATAGAGGGAGGGTTGGCGTCATAGAGGTAGGGTTGACGTCATAGAGGGAGGGTTGACGTCATAGACGGGGGGTTGACGTCATAGACGGAGGGTTGATGTCATAGAGGAAGGGTTGACATCATAGAAGGAGGGTTAAAGTCATAGAGGTAGGGTTGACGTCATAGAGGGAGGGTTGACGTCATAGAAGGAGGCTTGACATCATAGAAGGAGGGTTGACGTCATAGAGGTAGGGTTGGAATCATAGAGGCAGGGTTGACGTCATAGAGAGAGGGTTGACATCACCCCCCCTCTGTCATGTGACAATACTCAGACCTAGACCCAAGTACTGTCACATGGGTGGAGGTCACATGCTCCCCATACTTGGAAGCACCCGGTTCCGGGTATTTTGCACTGAGAAAGGAGTATAAGTGTGGGTGTGGGCGCTTTCTCCGGGTGACAGAGTCTCTTTAAATAGGCACTGCAGTTAATAACATACATGTACTTTACTTACAAGTAACACTTTGAAATCTAAGAGTCTGTAGAAACTGCAGCATCCCATTCTTCCAGTCTTCTCACTGTGTGCCGTGGTTCCAGCTGCCCCCAGATATGTCACTGGCATGTCTCCTCAGAGCTGCAGGGACACACTAATGACATAGAAGCTGAGAGGGGAGGTGGGGAAACACAGGGGGGAGTCACAGGCATCCCACAGTCCTGGAAACATTGGATTCTGCAGATCTGCATGAGATCAATGATTTGATTCGGCTAAGCCTGTATTGGTAAGCAGATTCAATTTTTTAAAGAGAGGCTGTCCATAGAACAATTTATAAATCTTCAGTGCCATCTTGTGGTCATAAATGGTAATGCAACAAACAGTTCTATAGTAGGACATAATGATTCTACACGGTTCTGTTATTGTTCTATTAATAAATTGCTATTGTGTTCTCTTATTGCAGTGATCTAGATTGGCTAAACAGAGAATCTGTCCTTTTTTACCCTCTAGGAAGAGAGAAGCCAGGAGGCCCCACAGGACCCTTAAGGCCAATCTTCAGTTCTTTTGTATCCCCGTCCATGGAGAGCAGGCTGATTCCATGTCTGATACGGTACAATTGCCTACCTGTTAATCTCCATTGATTCAAACTTAAGTCCAATTGCTATTAATGACTCTACTTTATACATCCTCATCATCCTTTCTGCTCTTTCTACACGACAAATGGGAAAAACCGTTGTGCCCATTGCTACTTGATGTTGTGGTGACTACAGCCCTTGTTTTTCGTTTCAGGAGGAAGCACCAAGTGAGATGCATGAACTGAGCAAGTACTTGGGTCAGGTGGACCCCTGGTATGACCGTAACATCAACACTCTCTGCGACAGGATCTCCAGAATTGCACTGATGGTTAGTAGACTGAGGCTATAGAACCCAACAAGATGAACATTGGGATGCAGCAAACGTGTAATGTCATGCCCTAGCGCACATAGCAGTGTGTAGTCAATGACAGGCAATCACATTCCAATTGCCATTTTCCCAGCACAGGCTCAAAAATGGAAACTAATACTGGGCTGGCTGCCTTAGGCAAGCAATGTAATTGTGCCTTAAAGTGACCCTAAATTTAGGAGGTAAACCTTAAAAATACATTCAAGTCCCTGAACTATGAACAACAATGTATGTTATTTGTGTATCACTCGGCTGTAGATCCTCCAATCATCTCAGAATTGGTGCTGACACTGTCCTTCCTTCTGGAGGGGGGCTACTTGTGTTCCCCATGTTCCCTGTGTGCATTTTAGAGTAGTCACCGCTCCAAGCTTGCTCCCATGATGGACTACAATCTCATATTTAGTTTACTAATTTGTATTGAGATTGTAGTCAATCCCGGGAGCGAGCTTGGAGCGGTGACTACTCTAAAATGCACACAGGGAACATGGGGAACACAAGTAGCCCCCCTCCAGAAGGAAGGACAGTGTCAGCACCAATTCTGAGATGATTGGAGGATCTACAGCCGAGTGAAAATCACTCATGCTCATAGTTTGAGCCGACGTGTGACAATGAAACTGTCTCACGTCGGCTCAATAGATCGGGAAGTGGGCAAACACATAGTGTCGCTCGCTCACTTCTCAATCATCTCCCTGTAGAGAGCAGTGACCGTCAGTCACAGCTCCCCACAGGGATTCCCCCCTCCCCGCTCTAATCCTCCAGCGCTGACTGGCGGAACGGATGGGGGAGGGGGCGGGTACGGCTGGCTCTGCCTCTTGATAGGCAGAGCCAGCTGTCAATCCCGCAGCTTGGTGGATCTCGACAGTAATGTCGGGATCCGTCCCGGCTGCGGCGTCTCAGTATACCGCGAGCTGTAGCTCCCTATATACTGAGCTTTGGGTCACGGGAGGATGCTAGTTTATGTCCTCCCGTGACCCTTAGGAGAACTATGGGGGAAAACACTTACCCCATAGTTCTCTTTTAAGGGGCTTGAATGTATTTTTAAGGTTTAACTCCTGAGTTTTGTGTCACTTTAATGATTTATACAAGGTCAATAAATTCTGCCGCACTTCAGAGGGGACCTATGGGCAGAAGAGCTTGCGATCTACAATCTGAGTCATCAGGCATTCTAGGGCCAGTTTGAGTGGAAACCAATCAACCTAACAAACAAAAAATCATAAAGAACATACAAACATCACACAGGTATTGTCCTTGGTAGGAATGGAACCCATGGGCTCAGGATTAGGTGTTCCAGGAAACTGGCTCACTATCTAGCAGAGGAGTGATAAAAGAGAGAAGTACACTAATAATATCAGAATGGCAAACAAGAACCCTGAGCAGAACGGCTTGCCTCCGTATGTTTCTAGGATTGATCTCCGAGTCTGGCTGTACTGTACCTTGACCGGCCCATAATCACAGATATGTTCTTTTACAGCCTCTATGTCCGAGCAGAGACGCCGCCTCTGATCCCTTCATCCTAGATGTCGCCTCATACTACCTGCGCTATGGACTGCAGCCGGTGTACTTTCAGATTTACAATGTGAAGGTGAGTATAGCATACCCACCACACTGTCCGCCGCATGCTTTTTGTACAGCAACATCCTGCAGTCTTTAAAGAAGAACTGGGTATAGAAAAAAACTTACCCTTGCAGTGGGGCTATCCCTGCACTGCAAGGTTTAAGTGCTCATTATGTCTAGGGGGCTCAAATAAAAGCAGATATACTCACCTGATCCTCACTCCCAGCATGATCAGTACTCACCTTTCTTCCCCTCTGCTCCAGCTGTTGAACATTCCTTAGTGTTCTCACGTAAGTCAATGGACCTGCACCCTGCAGAAGGCGAGAGATCAGCAGTGACCGGTCTTTATTACAGAAGGGGCAGAGACAAGACCAGTCACGCTGCACAAGGAGGGAGAGCAGCAGTGCTTGGTCTTAATAAAAGAAGTGGGTGGAGACAAGACCAGTCATCCTACCCAAAGAGAGAGCTCAGCAGTGAGCGGTCTTTATTACGGGAAGCTCCAAGTGTCACACTGGATTACTGCACAGATCTGGAAGAGATACACAAAGCTCTCCGAGATTCAGGAAGAACACACATGACTCTGTATGAGGACAATATTTACTCATTTAGGAGTTCAGCTTTAATGATTTATCTTTCTTTTGATTCTACAAAAACACTTAAACATCCTGAGGACTTTGTTTGTGTTATTAATTTACTATTTTGGCTACAATTGTTTGTTATCTATTTTTGTTTTTCTTCATTTCCTTTTTGTTTTATGTTTATTCCCAAATTATTATTATATTAAAATGTAGATTAAAAAGTGTTTGTGACCCCCAAATGGGCTTTAAATGTCTCCATGCATTGGATATTTTGTTGCTGTTAAGATCCGATGTTCTTTCAGATCCACTTCAGAGACCTGACGCTGGAGCCGGTGGAGGATGTCTTCCTGACTGAGCTGAAGGTGGAGATGCAGGACTGCGCCTTTGCTAAATGTAAGTCGTGTGATTGGTCGACAAACCTGACTACATACTGAGAGCGCCCATAGACGGACACATCGGCTTGTCCTGATTTCGCCTGAGTTTTCCTACCACTGGTCTAGAGGGTTACTTGAGTGACAGCTCCGCGTCTGCCTGGCCTGCTGAGATCACAAGCAAGATGGCAGCACCCAGCAGCAGTCTCAGGGCTTTTGGATGTCTACAGGGGCATCTTTAAGCAAAGTGTCAACCGGAGTGGGTACCGGGTGACACCCTGCAGTGACGCCATTTCGCATGTGCGTGACGTCATCGCGCGCGCAAGTGATGACGTCACGCGCTGTTACCTGCCGGCGGCCATCTTGGTGATGGACACTGGCAGAGAGAGGAAAGGACATTCACTCAATGAATGTCCCTTCATTTATTGGATGCCTGCCACGACCGAGTGTCTGACTTTTCAGAGGTGTGCAGGCCACATTCCCCTAGTGACGCCACTGGATGTCTACATAAGAGAGGCTTTTACAGGTAAATGACATGCAGAAAATACAACAAATGCACATATAAGATTGTTGTTAAAATGGATTGTCTGGTGACAGGGACTCTTCAATGTAACTATATGAAAGTGCTGTCTGTTATTAGGAACGTTTCCAGCTTGGTTTAGTAACAGGTGGAGGGGTTATCCCAGGGTTCAGGGCTGTCATCTGCATCCTTGTTTTATCACCTGATGACCTGGGAGCAGGATGCAGGTTGAGAGTTCTGAATTCAGTGGCCATATGATTTCTCCTTGTCAGTCATCCTAAGTAAAGAAGGATGACATTCCCAGAGCAGAAGAAAAATTTTAGTTTTATTCTTTATTTCCATATAAAAAAAAAGATGTTCCAACAGAATAGAGAGAAACAAACCTCGTTCAGTGACACATGTGAAGGTAGAATGGAGTTGGTACCTAGAAGGCATAAGCACCGAGATCCCATAGTCAGTATGACGTCTCAGGGTATACAATTGTCACTCTTTACATGTGTAATCAGTGGCGTAACAATCGCCATAGTGACCCAGGTGGTCGCTATGGGGCCCGGGGCACAGTGGGGCCCGGCCAGATGCCGTGCGGGCCGCCTGGGTCGCTATGGGATCTTCTGCTGCTGGCTGTCACTGGCTGCTGAAGACGAACACGCCGCTGTTCAGATCATCTGTGCAGCGGCGCGTTCGTCTCCACAGTCAATGAGAGCCAGCAGCAGCGGGGGAGCATGGTGGACAGCAGGGTCACCCTCAGGTGGGATGTCGAGTGGGCTCTGCAAGGGGTATAACTAGAAATCACGGGGCCCCATACAAAATTTTGCTATGGGGCCCTGTGATTTCTAGTTACGCCCCTGTGTGTAATAAAAATGTTTCCTGATTGTATCACATTATAAATTCATGAACTGGATCACAATGACAATGATCACAAATGTTCTTCATCCAATCAATGAGTCCGAGTTATCTTTTCATAAAAGTTTTCTTCATCTAGTGAATACGATGACCAGAAAGAAGACCGTTGCAGATTTTCGAGGCGCCGGGATCCAGGTTCACTATAAAAAGGTAACGTTCCGGCTGTTTACATCTCATATATATCATGTCAAATACACTCATTACACTGCACATTCCATTCAAGAACTTTGTTTCTGTTTCTGATATGGAAACGGTTTCCAAAACCAGGAGCCAGGAATGATTTTGAAACTTTGAGAATAATGCACTGTGAGCCAAAAAGCTCGGCGATGACCTCAGCATTAAAAAAAACCCAACATATTCCAAGTCTGATGACTGGGCAGGTGACACAGACAGCCACAAAGCTAAAACAGGAAGTGGCGGTGTCGCCTTGTGAATCATGAACACAACTACAAATATTGTGGCAGGTAGAAAGGTCACATGTTCTACAAATCCTGTTCCAGGTAGATGAGGCATCAGGGGTGTTCTCTGTAGAAATTAGCAAACGGCCTCCCTGCTATGGGTCGTAGGGTGCTACTGGGGCATAATGGTTTGCTGTGACCATCTTATCCAACATGAAGACAGATCTGTGTATTTGTGGTGCTTATATTGGTTTCTATATAACATAAAGCTCTTGTTGCAGGCATTAGCCAGTAACCGGGGGAAGGATGCCTCTTTGGTGCTCAGAAGTGCTGGAGCTATTATCAAAGCCATACCCAATAAAGACAGTGAAGGTGAGAGTACTTCCTCACACCAGGACCACATAGACCATTTGCATCAATCCCCTTAGGAGCTTACACTCTAATCTCCCACCACATAGACCATTTGCATAATTCCCCTTAGGAGCTTACACTCTAACCCCCCACCACATAGACAATTTGCATCATTCCCCTTAGGAGCTTACACTCTAACCCCCCACCACAGAGACCATTTGCAGTGTTCCCCTAGGAGCTTACACTCCTATTCCCCACCACATAGACCATTTGCATCGATCCCCTTAGGAGCTTACACTCTAATCCCCCACCACATAGACAATTTGCATCATTCCCCTTAGGAGCTTACACTCTAATCCCCCACCACATAGACCATTTGCAGTGTTCCCCCTAGGAGCTTACACTCCTATTCCCCACCACATAGACCATTTGCAGTGTTCCCCCTAGGAGCTTACACTCTAATCTCCCACCACATAGGCCTTTTGCATCGGTCCTTATAGAACCTTATATTCAGACCATTTGCATCAATCCCCTTAGGAGCTTACACTCTAATCCCCCACCACATAGACCATTTGCAGTGTTCCCCCTAGGAGCTTACACTCCTATTCCCCACCACATAGACCATTTGCAGTGTTCCCCCTAGGAGCTTACACTCTAATCCCCCACCACATAGACCATTTGCATCAATCCCCTTAGGAGCTTACACTCTGATTCCCCACCATAGGCATGCAAACACACAGCAGTGACAATATGAGGGAAGACAGTTAAAGTAAATGTAAACTCCAACCAGATTAAAATGTTCTTGCTCTGTGCACAAACTACTTCCTGTCTACATGCACTCACCCCAGCATGGACTGCACATCATTGCTCTAGACCGGCTTCCTGATGGTGACAACGGTGCACCCTGCCTGTGCAATGTGTGTTGGCACGGCCGTTTATAGTCTGCACCAGGGGAGCATGTGGCAGGGTGACAACGCAGGTGCACTAATGGGAGTCAGCTGTCACCCCATAACAGGAAGTGTCTAAACATAAACCTTCTTGGTAGGATCACCAGGGATTATTTTAATGAAAGCTGCAGATTAAAAAAGACTGAACTCAACTTTTACAATCACATTTAAAAAAACATTTAAAGCTTATAGGAGATTTGGGGACATAAATGGTCCATGTAGTGAGGCCTGGTGGCAGTTGAACCCAGGACCCAGCACAGCAAGGAAAGCTAATCATGCTTCTTTCCTGCAGACTTGGTGTGTCTGAACATCTGCACTGACGAGCCGGTGAAATCCTCCTCAGGACGTTCAAGTTTGGTAAGTACAAGGCCAGGGCAGGGTCACCTGCTTCTCTTCATTAGAAGTATCTCATTTAAAGGGAATATATGACGGAATTGCAGACAAATATGTAAACGCTTTCCTATAAATCACATATACACCTAAGGAAAAAAGAACCTGAAATGTTTTATAAACTGCATTTGATCACCTACAATCCATTTACATATTAATTTCCTATTATCACCTGGTTTAAAATCAGGCTGTCAATGGGAGTGGCCTCACTGCCTCCTAATAGAGTAGTCAGAGAGCAGCAGGAGGGAGTCCAACAATTTTATGTCTGAACTCTCCGGCCTCTCATACACTGTAATACGGACAGCTTCATGTTTTAGGCACTGGGGGTGGGGTAAGAGGTGCGTAGGATGCACACGTCTAAAAAGGCGCATTGGAGACCTCATAGAATTAAACAACGAGGACAGAAAATGAGGTCGGATTCTTTAGGTTCAATCTCTGCAAGATTGCGGATTGAACGAGTAATTTATGAAACCATAAAATACCGACATCAGTCACGTTAGTGCTGCCATTGTTGTAAAGAGAATTCAGAGAAGCGTTGGGCAGCTTGAGTGTGATGATGTCATCCAGCCAGCGTAATGATGTCACGGCTCTCACCATTACAGGGGAACAGCGAGGGGCGGAAGGCGTCCAGCGTACAGATGAGGAGCCTGGAGCTGAGGACTCTGAGCCTCCAGCTGGACAAGGACAGCCGAAGGACCTACGCCAACGTCTCAAGGTGAGAAAAGAAAATGCGAAAATGAAAACCTGCCGTCCCAGAACGGTCACGGCTGTGCTGGACGCAGACCGTTGTCGACTGGGATTAATGTGCAGCAATGGACAGCTGCTGGCTGATCCAGATACAGACAACTGCTCCTGGGCGCCATCTAGTGGTGGTAGAGTCATGCAAACGGCATTCGCCCAGCTATACACTGAGTGCAACTTTATACATCAGCCCCTCTAGGTGTTGATTTTTATGAGGCGGAGCTCTATCTGATTTGCTGCAACTTCTAATGCACATTGTGATTATGAAGCTCCCAGTGTGCAGTGACATCAGAGGAAGAGAGGAGCCGGTGGAACTGCGCAAGACTGAAGGGAAGGACGGAGGTCAGATAGAAGACTGAAGGGGAGGACAGAGGTCAGATAGATGACTGAAGGGAAGGACGGAGGTCAGAGATAAGACTGAAGGGAAGGACGGAGGTCAGATAGAAGACTGAAGGGAAGGACGGAGGTCAGATAGAAGACTGAAGGGAAGGACAGAGGTCAGATAGAAGACTGAAGGGAAGGACGGAGGTCAGGTAGAAGACTGAAGGGAAGGACGGAGGTCAGATAGAAGACTGAAGGGAAGGACGGAGGTCAGATAGAAGACTGAAGGGAAGGATGGAGGTCAGATTTGAAGTTACTCTGCATGTCTTCTCCTCCTCTGTGTGTGCAGCAAGGTAATAAGAATGCCTGGGGAACTTCCTAACATCTGACTATCACATGAAGGTGACGTAACGATGATTACAGAACCAGTCTTCCAGCCTCATAATAATATACAATGTTTTGTGGCGACATTCTCCTTTAAATGGGCAAAATGAAACTACAAATTGATCTTATAAAAGTCATTTCTCACATTGACCGATTTTCATGTATTTATTGATTAGCTTTGAGGTGGCCCCCTGCCAGGAGCCCGGATATAGCTTACAGAAGATGAGGGCATCTCGCGTCCATGGGGACGGGAAGGAAGACGGCGGGCTGAGCCGATACATGACCAAATCTCTACTGCTCCCAATCAATACATTTGCGGGCATTATCCAGTGACGTCAGGAAGACCACTACTACCCCAAACAAGGACTCCACTCCCATCATCTCCTGGCTCATGAACTGCACTCCCATCATCTCCTGGCTCATGAACTAAGTTGCACAGGGTCAATGAGTCTTCCTAAAGAAGAACTCTGGGAATTAAAAAAAAACAGTACCCTTGCAGTGGGGCTCCCCCCGTGCTGCAAGGGTTAAGTGCTCATTTTGTCTAAGGGGGTCAAATAAAACAGATATACTCATCCGATCCTCAGTCCTGCCGGGCTGCTAGACTGGTGCACTCAGGCTCCGGCGGTCTAAGGACCCGTGAAGTCATTATGTCTGATGCAGGTCCATTGACTTGCATTAGATGTGAGGAAGCCAAGGGACATGCCACAGCTGGGGCAAAGGGGGACAGGGGTAAACGTTGACCGTCACAGGACCGAGTGAGTATATGTTCTTTAATGGAGCCTATAGACAAAACAAGCACTTAACCCTTGCAGTGCGGGGGTAGCAAAGATTTTTAAACTCTCTGAGTTCTTCTCTAAAGAACAATTTAATTAGTAGGCGGAGTCTAATGAGCAGCGTTACTCTCCAACGCTGCCTTACCTCTATGTTCTCCCACCTCAGGGGGGTCTCCTATTGCATCATGCACACTATAAAATGAACTGAGACAGCGGGAGCCCCATGGTAATGGCGGTGACAGGTGCGTAGATCCTGGTGACCTCCCCGAAAGGGAAAAAAAAAGTCAACCGCCCTACAGCTCAAATATCCAATGCAGGCTAAGAGACTTCTTAAAGTGACGGCACACTCGTGACTGAGGAGCGCTGCTAACAAGAGGACATCCATTGGGAATACACGTATACACTGGAGCCGAATTCACATGGAGTGTTTGTACCTCCGAGGTTGACAACACGTGGCCGCGCCTGGCTGAGGTTCACAACATGTGGCCGCGCCTGGCTGATGTTCAGTCCGAATGCCGCCATCTTCCTCGGCTGTCTGTACAAATATCGGCGAGTCTTTGGCGGGAAGGAGATGACTCGTCTTTGTTATTACAGATTGAAGATTCTATTTATTTATTGTAATTGTTGTAAAAATAAACTTTGGGATCTCTGTGAATGGTTTGTTGTTGGTGTGAGATGTCACAATTAAGGATGGGCTCAGGCGTGTTCGCAGCTCCACGTGCCGGGCCCGCCAGGAAGCTGGCAGCGCCAATCACCGGTACTGAGACATTTTCCCGATCCGCAGCTGCAGAGATCGGGAAATGTCTCAGTGCCTGTGATTGGCGCTGTGGGCTCGGCACGTGGAGCTGCAAACACGCCTGAGCCCATCCTTAGTCACAATGTAGACTGAGGCTTGTTACAGTGTATCTAAATCCAGGAACAAAGACGTCATACATTGCAGCTTACCCGTTCTTTGATGTGGCGGCTGCTTTGTTTTTTTTTCCGAACGAGTACATTTTCTGCAGGTAAAGAAAAATACTTTTGGGGGAATTTATCAAAATCTGGAGCAGCTGTGCATGGCGACGAATCAGCTTCTCTCTTCAGTTTGTGCCGTTAAAGGAGAACTATGAGGTGAATGAAAATTACTCATCCTCATAGTTGGAGCCGATGTGTGACACTGAAACTGTCACAGGTCGGCTCAGTAGATCGGGAAGTGAGCAAACACATACCGGCAATGTCACTCCCGCAGCTGGGTGGATCTCAACAGTAATGCCGGGATCCGTCCTGGCTGCGGCGGTCTCAGAATAACGCGAGCTGCAGCTCACGGTATACTGAGCTTTGGGTCATGGGAGGACGCTAGTTTATGTCCTCCCGGGACCCTCAGGAGAACTATGGAGGAAAACACTTACCCCATAGTTCTCCTTTAAGATTTGAAAATTAAAGAGAGAAGCTGATTGGTTGTCATGCACAGCTGATCCAGATTTTGTCTGCTCCAGTTTTGATAAATTCCCTTCTTTGTGATCGCGATAGAATTTCAGTGTCCTTCAACTGCCCGTCTACTGAACTGAAATCTCAAACCATGTTACCTGCTTCCCCACTTATCTCCAGCGATCTGTGTAATAGAGATGAGGTAAGGAGGGGATGCTTGTAGTTCAAATAGTAGCGCAGCCTAAAGGAGAACTCCAGGCAAAGTTGTTTCCTAAAGTGACACTAAACTCAGGAATTAAATCTTAAAAATACATTCAAGTCCCTTAACTATGTACAACAATGCATCTTATTTGTGTATCATTCGGCTGTAGACAGTGGCGTAACTAGTGACCTCAGGGCCCCATGCAAGAATCCCATGAAGGCCCCCCCCCCCAGAAAACACAAATTAGATTTTTTTTTTTTAAACAAAATTAGACAAGGAAAAAAAAAAAAAACACTGTCCTCTTTCATCTCCCCCTTCATGTCCCCAGCGACCCCATGTCACCTTCATTGATACTTCCAGCTCCCTGTCTTGGTGTCCCCCTTCGTGTCCGCAGCACTCGGCACTCGGCGGCAGTTCTGTGTGATGAGGGGGCGGGGATTACACCGCTCCCTCTCATTGCCTGCTGCCCGGCTGGATGATGCTTCACGCTGCGCCCGGAACAAGATGAGGGGAGCAGCGTGAAGCATGTAGGGCCCAGGACGGGAGGAAGAGGTCCCGGGACTGGTAATCAGCGGTCACCAGTGGCCCCTTCCTCCTGTCCTGGGCCCCCTCCAAGTGGCCGAACTCCAGGGCCCGGTCGCGGCCGCGACCTCTGCGACCCTGGTAGTTCCGCCACTGGCTGTAGATCCTCCAATCATCTCTGAATTGGTGCTGACACTGTCCTTCCTTCTGGAGGGGGCTACATCTGTTCCCCATGGTCCCTGTGTGTGTTGTAAAGTAGTCACCGCTCTGAACTCACTCCTGGGATGGACTACAATCTCAGGTTCAGTTTACTCATTTGTATTGAGATTGTAGTACATCACAGGAGTGAGCTTGGAACGGTGACTACTTTACACACACACAGGGACCATGGGGAGAATGATTGTCGTCACCCTAGGACAGGAAGACCGGCCAGGATATCAAAAAAAACAAAGGAATGAAAACCTAAAATGAAAATGAATGCAGCCACCACATCTAGGGACTGGTACACTGCTGTATATTACACTTTAATAATATAATAATATCCGAAATAATGTACACTTTATTCTTAGCTGAACTTTTGTTACAAATAAACCTCTTTTAGCTCCCCCATGAGCAGACTGCACTGATTATGCAGGGTCGTCCCTATAATGACGATGCATGAGGCTGTTGCCTAAGGTGTGATCACTTTGCGTCACTTGAGGGGGCACCAGGTAGAGCAGCATGGCCGCTCTGATGCACAATGCCAGCCAATGCATCCCTGAGTAGCTAAGAGCTGGGTGGGGAGATATATAGGGACCATAAAGATCCCCCAAGCAGCTCTTAGCAACCTGGGGTGCTCTTGGCAGCATCCCATCCTGCCTGCACCTGGCAACCATGGATGTGGCTGGCAACAAGTCCAATTTTTTTTATCAGCCGGACTGGCATAACATATTATCCTTTGTATTTCTCTCCTCTGACATTTCTGCAGTTTGTTTAATGCCACTATGATGCCTATCTTCTCTCAGAGCGATCAAATTCCCGTGCAGATGCAGTTAGCTATATAGACACAAGATGGCAGCAGAGGACGCTGCTCCTCCGGCTCCTCCCCTCTCTATGGTCAGGCTGCTGCGCGCAGTGCGTACGTTGAGCCGGGCGAACAGCGACACCTGCCGGGCGGCAGCATCTGGGAGGAAAGGGGCGGTGGCGGTGCACCCAGGGAGGCCAAGTGACGTGTCCCCGGGCAGGTGAGGCGGTGGGCGTGGCCAGCAGGTGCCACACTGCGTCCGGTGCGTTATGGAGGGGCCCCCGGCGGCCAAGAGCCCCGGAACGCAGAGGGAGGAAAAGGGGAGTCCGTTGTGAGCCCGGCAACTGCAGGTCCGTGGTGACGTCATCACCGTTGTCACAGTACATCATAGCAAGGCATTGTCCATCCGCTGCTGTGTGGCTGCATCATATGTGTATATATGGAAATGTGTTATTTTAGGTTATATTATATTTTTAGTTTTGGATGAAGTGATGAGGACTCAGCACCCATGCCTGTGTTTTATCGCTTCTCTTAGGTGGTCACCCCCCACCCCTTTCTGGGAAATGGCAAAATCTTAGAGTCGTCACCAGAACAAGAAGAGAGGGTATATCTTCCAGTGGGGACACCTATTTCTGTGGTGTCTCTCACCTTGACGAGACGTCCTCTCACTTCCTGTTGCGTCACCAGAACAGGAAGTGAAGAGAAATAAATAGCAAAGAAATCACCCCCCTATGAAAAGTCAGTGTCAGGAGAGAGGAGGGGACTCGCCAGGTGAACGTCCCCTCCTCTCTGTGCCAGATGGCCGCCGGCAGGCATTAATAAGACGACTGCTCATGCGCAATAACGTCACGGTGGGGTGTCACCCGGTCTCCGCTCCGGGTGTCACCCAGCCTCGGGATGCCCCTGGATGTTTAGAGTGGACACACACAGATATAGAGGCATGCTACTGCTGTAGAAAGGACCCATGTAGGAGTCCCATCGGGGAGATTTCTCTGTACCTTTTGCAGCAGGAAGTGAGAGGAAGTCTCCCCAATGCGAGAAGACCCTCCTATCAGGCAGTGACACCGATACAAGATTTCCCCTCCCCTGTGACAACATTTTGGATTTCCCGTCACGTTTACACGTCTTTAATGATATGTGACTCTCTTTCGGCCTCCCGCGGTGATCCTCGGCGGCTCTGGGCGATGACACGCCGACAGACAAGTCACTTTATTTTCTCCTTCTTTGAAAATACGAGTTTGGTGACAATCCCCAACCCGCCCGACCGGTCCGGGACGCAGTTTAGGGATGTTTGCCAACCGGAAGAGTCCGTGAAGTGCACCTGTCATGGCGGCATACGGCTTAAAGGCGGCGTTCACCTTTCTGACCATGTGTCATGTTACACCCATATTCTGAGTGGTAATTGAAACATGGCAGCATCCGCACCCCCCTCCACTTATCTGAATCGCGGGTTCCTCTCCCCTCAGGCTTGTTTCATTTTTTAATATACGTGGCTCCGCCCCCACAGCTGCATTGTTCGTTCACAGGTCCTTTAACAGGAACTAGAAGCCCCTCCACTCACGATACTGAATGTCCGCACCTTGATGTGGACGGGATGGAGAGTCTGCAGGAGACAGAGCGTTGCACCCGGGGATCTACTAGTTGCAATGCTTTGCTGGCTCCAATGCAATAATAATAATAATACTGGATGCACATTTTTTTGTTTTATGAAACATGTTCATTTATTATTATTTTAAAAGGTGGAATTTCCCTTTAAGTGCCTCTCTCCTGAGGTTCAGGACTAAGATGTTGGGGAACTGTTACATTAAAGTGACATTAAACCCTCAGATTTTTTACTAATAAACCAATACTGTAATGTGCGCCTTACTGTAATCCATGGTAGTTCCCTTCTCTTTGCTGCTCTTCCTTTTAAATCCTCATGTCTTCTCATGCTGGGGGAGAACTTCCCTTTGCAGCTCAGGGCCTCTTCCTGTAGTGCTGGCTCAGGTTAGCCCATAGAAGCCCATAGAAACGTATACGCAGACACCATGTATCTATTCCAGAGACAAAGCAGTCTGCTGCAAAACAGAAGTTCTGCAGAGCATGAGAACAGATACGGATTTAAAAGGAAGAGCAGCAAAGAGAAGGGAAACTACCCTGCATTACAGTAAGGCGCACATTACAGTATTGGTTTATGTTAAAAAATCTGAGGGTTTAATGTCACTTTAATGGCAGCATGTGGAACAGAATAGGCGGCAGAATTATAATGAATCTTCAGAACAGAACAGGAAGTGTTTTATAAAATGTAACAAGTGCCCTCTGCCCGGCTGGAAGATTCATTTCAAGGAGACCCTGACCCTCCAGTGACAAGGTTCACTTACACCGGGTGCCCCTCCCCTTCCCTAACGCTGGATGAAAGGGCAAAGATAAAACAGACACATAGTGTACTTACCTTTCCCCGACTTCCTACACCTAGACGAGGGCGACGTCATCTCTCATCTGGCCGGATCTCAAATGTATCAAGAATACAATCTTGCGCTGTGCTGCAGAGTCTGCTCGGCATTCCCAGGGATATTGTCGCCAGGAGGATAGAGCCACCCCCTGCACTACGGGAGTCGGGGTAATGGAGTATATCATCCTATACCCCCCCCCCCCCCCACACCCCAACACACCACCTCCCAAACGTTC